CCTAGTTTGTCATGAGCTTTCTACTATGGTGTACAGCATGTACTTAGCAGAGAAATCGGATATCAATAAAATGAAATATCAAATGTTAAATGAATGCTTAGAATAGTCATTAAACATTTTCACATCAGCTGTGTACTTGCTTACAAAACCTTAGAGATGACAACAGGAATAAAAACCTATGTAAACTACAATGTAAATACAAATAGAAGTCTAGCACAGAAATAATCTTTGCTTCAGCTGTCACACTCAAGATAGTCTTCACATATGAAAATTACATGTTCTACACACAAGTACTGGTTACATTGATAGCAAATATATTTTGTTCTCCTGTCTTTTCTTGTAGGGCACAGTTGACATCTTTTGGGTTTTCCTGTTCTCATAGTAGGTCTTTGGGTTGCTGTAGCTGCCTGTTTACCTGTTAGCTCAGTAGTGTGTTCCATAATGTTTTTTCATAGTTCCCTGGGAAGAAATACTTTGTTTTTCCTCTGCTATAAATAATATCTTGTGAATTCCAGTCCAAATCCTCTAAGTAAATTTCTCTGTGGTATTTTGCACTTGTTCTTTTCTTCATAAACTATCAACATATTTATGCCGCAAATGTTTAAGATTGAGTAAAACACAACCATTGGCTAGCACTTTGTGTTTTGAGTGACATCACAGTTGCTATATAGCTCATCAACAACGTCTACTCTGCCTTTGGTTTTGTTGTATAAAGTTTCAATCTCAGAATTCCATTTTGTAGAGGTTTCCCTATTAATATTTCTATCATGGTCCAATGCTGACATTTTCTTTGCCAAATACAGACCAATGTAAATCTTTCTGGAATCTAAAGATTATCCTATACAATTCTGTTTTGAATTGCAACATTTGATTTGGAATTTCTGCTTCATTTCAGCATACAGTTCCTACAATGGTCAACTTGTACTCTGTTAGCAAATGTAACATTAACTGGAAACTGGTAAACCAATTGTTGAATGTCACATTCTGATTAGTTTGGGAGATGGGAGCAACAAGTCTGTTCACAGCATCATTTGGTTTGTTACCATATGAATAGGAGTTACAGGATAAATTTCTAAATTGAATGCATAATAAGTCTTCCCATCCGTAAGGGTATAAATTTTTATGGCATATTGTGAAAGGTCTTTGTAGCATGCATGCCCTGAAGCTATGGTGGCCATGAAATGCTGCAAGATGTGCATTATAGTCATGTATTCAGATGGTGTGTAAATTGCTTGGCAATTACTCACAAATCTGTCAATGGTTGGACAGCAGCCAGATTATTTGTTCTTTTTTTTCTTAGTGGGTGGTTTTTGTCATCAAAACTCAGCCAATTTTGAAGGAAACCAAATCTCCTCAGTGTCATTGTTGTGCTACAAACCTCAAGCCCACACCCATTACTTTTCCATAAATTATTTACATTCTTACGATTACCAGGAGAAAGCCCTACTAAGTACAGTAGAACTATGAATGCTTTCAGTTCTGCTACTTAGATGTCAGAATAAATACATTTCTGAGTACAGATATTGGTTCATACAGAATGTTTTACTTGTATTTCAGCCTTTGTGTATTTCACAATATCTTGTATCATTTCATCTGTTACAATTTCCAGTATTGAATTGCAGTGCTGGCATTCTGTTCAATAGGTTTCACCCTTGCCAAATTCCTCGCTATATTTTCAGTCCTAGTTCTAACATTGGATTGTTCCATTTGATTGCGTGATCATTTTGCACATTTTGAGTAATCAAATGTGTACTCATATTGCTGTTTCCTTCATCCTCTGAATCAATAAAGTCATTCCCTGTATCTATATCAGTTGATTCTTGCTCCATTTCACTGTCACAGGAATTTTGGCTCACATGGGCAATGTCAAAGTCATCATCATCATCATTGTCATATATCCATACCACTCTTCTGTTATGAAAACATGTATTTTACCATAATGGATCATCTTCATCATCCATACATGAGTAATATGATGATTCACTTTTGACCTCCTCCAAAATTTGCAAATATGTTTTTTCATGTACCATTATGCTGAATTGGGTTATTTCTACCACAAAGATCAAAAGAAAACTTAAAAAAAAAACCAAATCCTAGAGTGATATGGGTGTATTATACCCTGTGTCATGTTCAGGTAAACATACACAAAATCTGTGAAGCAGTGCATAATGTGAGTGAAAATCCTGGTTTGACACTTTTGCACAGGTGTACAGACCTTGCTGTTCATCATATCAAGCCAGTAAAAACAAAGATTGCTTCCTGTATACCTCGGGGAAAGGTACTGAGATGCACAACCAGCTACTATTATGCTAAAGTAAACATTTTTGATAGAAAAATAAGGGATGTGTTTTTGAAACCCAGTGTTATGCCCATGGTATTAATATCACCATGGTGATTAAATTTCTACATTAATTTTGGAGGGAATGTAAAAAAGATAGCACTGCATACATTAGTATCTTAGAGTATATATTAGATATTTATAAATTTGGAAACCCTTATTCAGTACCAGTTATACAACAGACATTATTCAACTTGGAGAATAACTTTTTGAAAGATATTTAGTATGTTAGAATGGAAATTTTCTCACATTGTTATTATCAGGAAATTAAATCTATTCCTTAAAATTCAAATGGTTTATTAACTATGAATTAACATTCTTTTCAAGTAGAACAGAAATATAGCAAAGCAAATTACATTCAGAAATAGATGTGGGCTAGCCTTATATACCACAGAAAAGTTTCACAAGTCAGGCATATTATAAATTTATAATAAAACTCATATCAGTTCCAGGTAGAATTTCTAGAAAGATGAGAAAACCTAACCTTAAAACCAGATTTGTTTTAAAATGTTGGACCAATATTTATAATATAACCAAGAAATAATTATTAATTGTTTTCAAATTACAACTTTAGTCTATCAATTTTAATTGAATCTTTTCTAAACCAAATGAGATAATATAAAATTATATAATTTATTTCTTCATTGAATAATTTGTGTTACTTAATGAACTGATCTTTCAGTTTTTTCTATTTACTACATACATTTCATATTTTACATGTATTACATATATTTTTATATTTATTACATATATTTTATCTTGTTCCTTTTATCAAGTTTAAAATAACATTTGGAACCTTATAGATTCTAAAACAATTTAATGAGGGAAATTTTCTGCAAAAATTGTAAAGAGTGGAAATAGGAAACAGAGGGCTGATTATTTGCTAGATAAAAGCTAGGACTCAAAAATTGTGCTTCAAGAGAGTTTTCAGTAACAGAAAAATGTAACTTTGATAATTAAGGGTTTAATTATGAAATCAAATATTCAAATGCTGTAAATTTTCCCTATACATTTAATAAATGATTTGAATATGTGAATAACCATAATATCTGACATTTATTGAGGTTGTATGAGCTAGACACTATCTTCTTTACATATTTTCAACATATCAAGCTTTCAATAATTCTATGAGGAATTTCTTATTTTATAGCAAAGGAAACATGCGGAGAGAACTTAAGGAACTTGCTCAAAGTAATATTACTGACACCATTCAGACACAAGCAGCCTACTGCAGAATCTATGCCTTCAATATCACCCTAAGTTCTCTTAGATGTGGAAAAGATACAATACTGACATTTTAATTAATAATTAATTAACAATGAATATATAATAGCCAAACTCACCAGGACTATCATTTTAAAATAATATTTTAAGAATTTTATAATGCTCAACCATATATATATATATAACCTAATTTGATAAAAAATTTATAAATTATCAATAGTGCTGCTATGTAACAGAAAGGAAAGAAAAGTATGTATTAACTGCTCCATCTCAAGTAACTAGTAACAAAGTTCATACTGTAATAAAAACCATATAATCTGACGTTGGTCCTCTCCCTCAGTATTCCTAACAGTTACTGATAGGCCGCCTACAAAATAGAGGCACAGAAAATATTTCATAACATTGAAATGGATCTTTAAACTCTGTTGACTTAGCTAAAAAAAAATTAGAAGACACAAGAAATGTTTCAGCAAATTGAAAGATAATAGGGATTAAATAAAAACCCTAGATGAACATCTCTGACTATTTGAGTTCAATATCAAGGAAAAAATGGCTATTGTCTTCCAAAATATTTGTTGATGCCAAGGTCAAAAATAGACATCTTGTTACAATGTATATGGGAGGTCTGTAAATAATGTTTGCCTTCACTTTGAGCAATTTCTTAGCAGGGAAAATGATTTCTATCTTGCAATTTCAGCATTTTCTGTTTGCTTTGGTCCTCATAACTTTATCTGGATTCAATTTTCCTCCATGTACTGTACTTTATCATCCCTATTAAACTACCCTGGTTTGAAGGACTATGAATAAAGAAGGCTCTATTGAAGACAGTTGCTATCATTCTCCCTTCCTCTTTTCTCCTGATGAAATAGCATGGAATGGGAGAGGTCTGACTCATACACTGTTAAATGAAAAGACAGATTCAGATAAAACATGGGAGAATAGCCATGGGCTCCCAGAGGGATGAATGAAGCCATTAACTGCTGGTGTTTTTTTTTTTTTTCAAAGGCATGGTCTGCCTTTCTGGACATTCTTCCATGTGTGGGTTAAGTTCAACTGATGATTCGGAATGAATGGTAAAAGATTGCTACTGTCAAGGCAGAAAACTCATGGCCAGCATGTTTTTGGATCCATTCATGTTTGATGTTTTTTCTAACTTTACATTTCTTTGTTCACTCTTAACTTATTGAACATATAATAAATATCGAATCTGTGGTCTTACTCTATGTTGCAGGTTGTGTAAATATCATAGAGTATATTTACAGAAACTTACATGGTATAGCCTACAGCACTCCTCAGCCATATTAGACACACACATATATACATTATAGTGTAGTCTATTACTCCTCTGCCATGGTGAAGAAAAGGGCATAAGATGAAATTAAGAACACATTATTTTTCAACTTTTCTTTTTTATTTAAATGTAATTGTGAGTTTGACTGTTCTACCATCTCTGCTCTCCTTGGAAATATTAGACCTAATAAAGTAAAAAAAAAAGTACAAATGTATTAAAACATTTTCAATTTTCTTAGGATTTAACAAAATACTTAGAATGATAGTGGTTAAAGAGGATGTTATATGCTTAATGAATCATAAAATACACTAAAATATTTTCTTAATACTTTCAATGTAGGCATAGCTATATATTAAAACATCCTTCTTTTTTTCCAAATGGATCTATTTCTTACAATTCACATATGGCATCATGTTTCACCCTTTTCCATAAGTATTAGTTAGAGTTTCTAGAATAGAGGTGTAGAGGTGTAGAGTTCTACAACCTGCCATTCACTAGCTAGAGACACATAATCAGGGTATGGTTTCAATGTATGAGAGGCAGCAAGCTAGTGGTGTAGAGTCCAGTCTGAAACTCAAAGGCTGAGAACAAAAATTGCCAAAGATAGAATATTAATGCTTCAGCTCAAGTGGTTAGGCAGAGAGAGGTTAATTCCAATCTTTTGTCTTTTGGGTCTATGCAGAAAGTCAGTGATTAGATGACACTTACATTTCATTGGCCATCAGCTTTATGGATGTTCAGTTCACATCCATTCAGATACTATTGTCTTCTGGAAACATTGCTATGGTAACACCAAACAATAGTATTTAATTAGCTATCTGAACAAGCCATGGCCCAATCAAGTTGGTCCATAAAATTCACTATCACAAGATCACCTCTTGTCAGCTTGGTACCTATACAGGAAACATAAATGATAATAAATCCTCAAATAAAGACATTAGCAAGATCATAATTCCACCTAATGTGATGCAAATATTCTATATACAATAAAAATAGATGTCTTATTCCTATAAGAAGAAATAGAGTATGTGAGTGATGATTTTGCTTTTTTGATACCTGATAACTAGTATAGTAAGATGTAAAATTAAAAATATTTATATATCAACTAATAACAATATAAATTCAATACTTGTGATGCATAATAAGAGGCAAAAGAAGCAAGGAAACAAAGGTATTTCATAGGTAACAAAGTAAGAGGGAAATATTGATAAAAATTATAATTCTCATTTTTAAACTGCTTATTTGGTCATAGTATTCATAATTATATATTTCCACTACCAAATTGGTATTCCCTTTACCTTTAGCAAGCATCACAGTTTTTTTTTTTTAATTTTAGAAGCAATCTGAACTTTTATTTTTGAAAGGCTGCATTAGTAGCAGTTTTCTTTTAATTAGTTCCCCATGGTTTTCCATTGTCCTTAATCACAAGTAATGATAGTCCTAAAATATTCCTGTATCCCCCAAATAATTTTTCTTACCTCCATTATTCAGTAATAGTCCATCTTCCCTTTAGCAATCAGGATCCATTATCCTATCCAGATGATAACTTCCTCATTTTCCTGTTGATTAATAGTTATTAGAAATCCAAAATGGCCTGGCTAAAGTCTTCTAGTTCAGTGGAATGATTGTTCTTTCTTCTGTTACAAATATTTAGCTTTTGATGATTAATGTTGCTTGTCAAATTGATTCACTTGTGACATACTTAGGAGATTAAAGTACACTTTTGAATTTGTCTGATGGGGCATGAGTTTGAGGAATATATCAGGTCCCTGCCACCTTCCTCTCTGCATTTCCCCTACTTTCTGCTTCCCAAATGCCCTAAGTAGAGAAGTTTCCTCTGTCATAATCTTCCATTATGAAGTTTCTACCACTCTGAAGACTGGTCAGTGGACCATAGACTATAAGCTCTGTAAACATGAGGCAAAAATGAAGTTTAAATTGTCCAAATCAGGTATTTTGTCCCAGAGGAAAAGCAAACTGACTAGTACATAAAACTCATACCAGAGAAGCATAGTTGTTGCTTTGTATCTCCAACCTAACCATGTGTTTCAGAAGCCTTTGAAAATGGTTTGTAGAAGGATTTGGAAATGTTTAGGGGAGCAGGCTAGAGAAAGTTTAGAATGTTGCAAAGAACTTGATAAGTAACTCTGGTTGGTGTACAGAAGACAAGAATGGTAATATGGATGTAGACAGTGAGGGCCAAACTCATGAGGTTTTACACAGGAGCAGGGACTTGATTAGGAATTGGATTAGAAGCCAATCATGTTACATTCTGGAACAGAATATTTCTACATTTTTGTCCATACCCTAAAAGTTCTTGTGAATCTGAGTTTAAAGGTGATGAAGTACTTGATCTGGTGGAGGAAATATCAAGGCAGCTCAATCTTCATGCTGTGGTATGGGAACTGCTGCCTGTTTTCAGCCAGATTTATAGTGTGGATCAGGATCAAAACACAAACTTTCATTTTAGCCAGAAAAAATGCATATAAAGTGTGTAAAGCTGGACCAAGGAAGATATAATTGATGTAGAGATCAGCCTTCTTAAAAAAATAAAAACAAGTATATTCGTCTATGATGATAGGAAAGTAATGTCAAAAGCATTTCAGAACTTGGTCAGACCCCACCAATCACAAGCTCAAGGATATAAAATTGGAAAGTTGTTGAAAGACTTTATCTTCAGAAGAGAATTCCAATGCACCCTGCCAGCCAAGAAAATGTTTCCTTGAATTCAGCCTATAGGCATTCAAAAGCCACTATAACCATTGTCTAAGGGGCCAGGCCACTACTTTTGCTGGTGGTAGGTCTTGGCATCTTTCAAGTAGTGTTGGTTTTCGAGGCATATAAAGTGCAAGAGTTACAAGATCAAAGAGGTTTATATCCTGACTTCAAAAGCTGGCATGGGTTGCAAATCAGTGGGTGACAGAGGTGACATCCTTGCCTGGTGCTTCTGAAAGGGCAGTGTGTGAAGCTGTGAATCAAAGCCAATGGTGCAATGGAAATCCCAGGAAGTTAGGTATGCTAGAAATGTGGAACATCTTTCAAGAAAAGACAAGGACAATTGAGATAGCAAGCAGGACCACCCTAAGAGAGAGGCCATGTGGTGTACAAATGGCAAGGGTACAAGGAATAGCCTGTCCAAGCATTCAGGATCTAACATTTCACCACCTTGTTTCCCTAATGATGGACACAGAGATACAGGAGATATAAGATTTAAGATTTTCCATCTGGCTTTAATCTTATCATTTGCCATCTCCATATGCCTTTGAAATAGAAATATTTATCCTGTACAATTTTACCTTGGGATTATGGGACTTGTTTTTGATTTTTACAGTAGTTCATAGCTAAGCACTTACCTTGAGTCAGAGAATTTGGACTTGAACTTTTGAGTAATGTTGATACTGTTGAAACTTTGGAGAAAAACAGCATGTTTTTGGTTTTATGTAGGATACATATTAGTTGATATATTATGCCATATTAGACAAAATTAAAACCTTGTTATTGTCTTTTTGAAGATTAAATGTAGTTTGAGGAAATGTGCGTGTGTGTGTGTGTGTGTGTGTGTGTGTGAAGTTGACAAGGTGTAGACTTGTAGTGGTCAGTCTTGACTATTTATTTTTTTGCTTAAATTCTTTTATTGGTACATTTTAGGTATACAGAATGTTTACATTTATCATTGGGTGTTTGTACCTGTACATGATGTATCTTGGTTCTTATTTTTTCCCCATTTCCTGTGCGTCCTTCACACCCTCCACCCTTCTCTATTTACATAGACTTTGCTTCCATTTTTTTCTTTTCTCATAATTTTTTCTTTACCTTCTTTCTTTTCCTTTCCCCTTCCCCTAACTTGATTAGCTTGAGAGACATCTAGGAGATTAGAAAATCACACTTTTGCATGTGCCTAGGAGTGTCATGGAGGAATGAGATTGGAAACTGTATCTGTTTCCTGTCCTTTCGTATCTGGCTCTTGCTCTGGTATCTGCTTCCCAGATACTATGAGTTAATCAGATTTTTTTGTCATTTTTTTCTGCCGTGTTTCTGCTTTGGAGACAGTAGACAGTGGATTTAAACCTCTGAAACCTTAAGCCTAAATAAACCTTTCTTATTTTAAATTGTGCCTGTCAGATATTTTGTTCCAGCACTGAAAAACTAAATAACATGGAGCTGTATTCAAACAGAATATAAGGCAGTGGAAACAGGGTGCAAAATTTTGCTAGTCATAATGTCCCCACTGAAAATTTGCAGCTTTTCTAGGAATTTGTGAAATAACTGGAGAAACGAAACCACATGAGAAATATTTGGGTTTCAACATCCAAAGAGCCTCAGTAAGCCTTGTGCCTTTCTTTTAGTTGTAGGAGGAGCCAGATGTAAGTAATTACCCTCAGTTTGTAAGAGATATCTGGACATGCCCCACACCACTGATTCAACAGAAAACAACTCACTGACTCAGAAGACCACTGAGTTTTAGTTGAATTTATATCATACTTTCAAATATGAAAACAGTATATTACCAATAAGTCTGGAGTGATTCCATTACTTATTACTTGATCCAATCAATGTAAAGTCATCAATATTTTGTATCAATGTGATATTTTTTGGAAAGGCAGTCAAGATCTTTGTGAACTAAATTATTGTTAATTATTCAGATAAAACATTGCAATAGGACATTAATGGTATATTTCTAAATTTGTCACCTAAAAAATCTATTTTGGGTGGGCTATAACTGTTAAAATTGATCGTATCAACTTGATTGGCTTGGGTGCTATCCAGGGAATTGGTGGAGCATATCTCTGGATATGCTTGTGTAGGCATGGAAAAATGACCTTGGGTACTACAGTATATCTGATCCCTCTCCAACTCCTTTATGGCACTGTTCCTCTGCTCTACTTGCCAACCTCTGTGAATTGAATATTTTTCCTTGACTGCGCCCTTATGCCATGAGGTTTTCACCCTAGAGTAAGATAACCATGGACTGAGTCTACTTAAAATGTGAGCCAAATTAAACCTTTTGAAGTTGTGGATGTCAAGTATTGTATCCAATAAAAGGAAAGCTGACCAATACAGAAAATTTATACTTGAAACATGAGGTTATTGCTATGACTGTACCGTATGGTTCAGAATTCTTTTAAACTGGTTTATAGAAAGAGTTTGGAAACATGTAGAAATGTGGTCTTTAAAAAACATCAAATACCATAAGCATAGCCTGACAGGTGATTCTTTTTGGAGTTCAGAAGATCAGAATGATTATAGGAATATGGAAAATCAAGGCTAGTGTCAGGAGGTTTCAGTTGAGTACAAAGACTACAATTGTCAGGTGTATTAGAAGCCATGTGTGCTACACTCTGGAAAAAAGGAAAAAAAAACCCAAACAAACCAAAAAAAGTACATTTTGCCCTGTTATGAGTCTTTGGAGAAGTCTGAGATTAAGATTGGGTTCCTAATTGTTTTGGTGGCAGTAATTAAAAAGTAGCCCAAATTTCTTTTGCAGCATGGGTATTTTCTGGCTACTTTTAGCCAAATTTATAGGTGCAATCAAGGACAAAGAGAACAAAAAAAATTTAAAACTTAAATTTTGGCTAGAAGCAAGCACGTGTAAAGTTGGGGCCAAAGAAGATGTGACTTCTGAAGAGACTGTTTCCATTAAAATGGAATCATTTACTTTGTACTAGGACAAAAGAAAGATGTCTTGAGTGCATCTCACTAATCAGAAGTGCCCAAACCTAACAAGAGGCCTCAAAGGTAATAACCTAAAATGCAAAATATCAGCATTTAATTTGAAAAGAGAATTCTTGGGCTCCTTGATGCAGAAGGTCTGTGTAGAGAATTGGTTCCCTAGGATTCATTTCATTGTGGTAAGGCATCTAGACTGAGAACTCATTGCAGCCGTGGTCCCAGGGGACCTGTCTACTGCTCACACTGACAACAAACCTTGGGATTTTTGATGTGATCCTGGTTTTATAAGCATGCAGAATGCAAGAGTTTGGGGGTCAATGAAGCATCCGTACAGTTTTCAAAGGGTGTGGGGCTACAGAGATAGATATTTTCCCTGCTGGATTTCAGTCTTATTTTGATCTACTAGTTTTCTTCCTCTATGCCTTCCTTCTGAAATGGAAGCGTTTTCTCTATGCCAATGTGCCTTGGGGTCATTTAAATTGTTGTTGTTTAAAATTTTTATAGAGTTTCACAGCAAAGAGTTTGTCCTGAGTCAAAGTTTCTTGAGTCAAAGAGACTTTGACTTGAACTTTTGAAGAACACTGGAATTGTTGAAAATTTGGGGCAGAGATTATTGCATTTTAGGATTGTTGGCAATGTAGTTGTATTATATTAGGCAGAAACAGGACCTGGTGTTTATTAGTGATTAAATATGGTTTAAGGGGATATTTTGTGGTGTCATCTTGAAAGGAGTGTGATGTAAGAGTTAAGCCTGACTGTACTCACTTGATTGACTTGGAAACTACCAAATGGATTAGTAGAGCACACTTTCACATGTGTCTGGGTGCATCATGAAGAGGAAACCTTGAATACTATACATGATCTTTTTCTTTTCCTCTGTGGCACTGTTCTCCTGTTCTACTTGCAAACCACCATGAATTAAGTAGCTTTGCTTGACCACACCCTTCCAATTTAATGTTTCTGCCTTAGAGTTGGCTGATCACGGACAGAATTCCATTAAATCATGAGTCGAATTAAGCCCTTCTTCTTTTAATTTGTGAGTGTCAGTATTTTGTCCAGCAAATGGGAAATCTGAGTAAAACATGGGCCTGTTGAACAGACATGGAGTAAAAGGTATTTATTACATCCA